ATCTTGAAGAATCTCTTAAAGTATCAATAACATTAAAAATTAGAATAAGAAAGTATGTGTTTACAAGAAGGAACTTAAACTAGGCTATCTTGATACATCTCAGATAAATGGGTTTATAAGCAATAGGCAATGTTAAATCTATTTGTAATCAGCATTCATGACACCATGGTCTCATGGATTATTTAATACTTTCAGTGGGAGTTCTGAGCCAATGACCTCCAAATATCCACTGGCACCTAAATTACTCTGCTTTTTCAAAGAGAGAATCACTAAGAGAATAACCAACCCAGTAGATTAAGTGGATATGAGACACCCAAGTGCAAAACCAACCATACCCTGGGCTGCATCAACAGCAGAATGGGCAGCAGGGTGAGGAGGGTGATTCTCCCTTTTTACTCTGTTCTCATCCCACCTGGAGCACCGCACCCAGCTCTGGAAACCATGGTACAAGGAAGACGTGGACCCGTAAAGTGAGCCCACAAGAGGCCATGTAAACCATTAGAAGACTGGAAGGACTCTCCTATGAAGATGGGCCAGAGAGTTGGGATTGTTCAGCCTGGAGAAGGCTTCAGGGAAGCTTTATTGCAGCTTTTCAGTATACGGAGAGGTTTATAAGAAAAATGGAGAGTGACCTTTTGCCAAGGCTCGTAGTGATAAGAAAAGGGATAATGGTTTTAAGCTAGAAGAGACATTGCCCCATCCATGTTCAAGGATAGGTTGGATGAGGCTTGGACCAACCTGGTCTAGTGGAAGGTGTCCCTGCCCATGGAAGAGAGAATGGACTAGATGGCCTTTAAAGGTCCCTTTAAACCCAAACCGTTCCATGATTAAAAATAACGATTAAACAGACACAGTAGTTGAAGCAGATAGGCTGCATTTACAGCTTTTCTTACCTGCAGGCATACAGCATGTTGGACATAAAAGTGATAGGGTTAGTACTGCGAGAGGTGTCCATCACATAGACAACAACTGAAGGAAAAGAGGAAGCCTGGGAATACAAAGTAAAAGACAATGTAATTAGAAGCTCACTGCTCAACAGCCAAGTCATTCCCACAACTTCACTGTCCAGTCATGTCAAAAGCACTTACCAAGGCCTCAGTTATGATGGTTCCCGATGCTGACCAAGTAAATACCTCAATTTGCCCTGGTGTGTCAATAATAACATACCTGGTAAGAAGTTACCCCCAAACAACAATAAGGTAAAATTAGTTAAGCACAAGGTCCTGTTCTGACTAGATTATTACCAGCATACAATGGCAAATGACATGATTATTCTATAACAGATGAGAAAAGCTTCTCCCAAACACTAATGAGATTTATGGGCATGCCTGAAAATCTCCTGTGTGAATTCTGTAACTAAGAAACATGTACTCTTATGAGATGAAGGTGTCAATTTGACAGACAGCAGTGCAAAATCTTCAGAAAAAGAATTAATTGCTGCCTATCTGAACAGTGTGTGAGAGAAAATGTAAGACAAGGAAAGCAGGATAATAAGCGGGCTTTTTTTTTTTATGTATCCAAAGAAAATCTTGTTTATCCATTCTATGCCCTTTTCCACATAAAATTTCCACTAAGGCTGAAAAAAACAACTAGAAAACATTCAGAGAAGCTTTGTAGAATTTTGTGATTTTCCCACAATGATCCCAGAAAAGCACAACTCAGTAGAATGTACTTACTTGGATGCGTTCTGTCTTTTTTCAATAAACTTCATCACCTGATTGAAAAGGCAGAAGTATATTTTGTATTTAGGCTCACAACAGGAAACTTTAATCTTCATTTCATAGCAGAAACTACATTAATTTGCACAGCTGCAGGTGAATATCAAAAGGTTAAAGTCTCTATGCTTTTCAGAGTGTGAAAATGCCCTACTAACAAGGGGTGAAAAATGCTCAGACCCTGCATAAGTCAAAGACAACCTTGATTTTCTGTGTGTTCTAGTACTTGACTGAAGAAATTAGTACCTGACTAAAGGCAGTAGTTCCCTGCCTTTTCACCAAGACACTGTCTCAAAATCCGACATCAGACCCCAGCCAGAGCTGATTTAGTGCTATGATTTAGGAGGACTGTCACTTACCAAATAACCCCAGGAAAATTTAACAGGCTTCCAGAAGTGAGCTTTCATTCTTCAAAACCAGAGCATTCACATGAAAGATTTTATAGGAAACATGGTGCAACAACCGTCCTATACAAAGACTGAAGAATGTTCTTCAGTTACATGTGACTTCTTAATCACACTTTTAAAAAAGCTGAAAAACTGAGATCTCTCATATGAATGCTTGGTTCTGTATGGAGAATAACTCCCCAGAAATATCAGAAGGCTAACCAAACACAGTGTCCTCTGAGATTCAACATACACAAACTCCCAACCCCCGGCTCCAGCACATCATAGGAACACCACATAGAAATAACCTTGTACCTGGTCAAATCTTGTAGCAAAGAGATTGAGAGAGGTCACTATTCCGCCATTGGGGCCCAGCCCATATCTGATGCTTCATTTAGGAAAACAGATGGTTATGCAGACCCCAGAAGTCACGTTTGTCAACTCTGACAACATATGCATGCTGGATACCTTGAAATTAAGAGACAATAGCCCCAATACACAATTACATCTTCTAAGTCATTCAGCAGAGTAACAAATACTCTCTTACCCAAACACGTGCAATTGACAGCAGGAAGAGAGGCTACGTGGCTTCTCCTTGCCATTTTTGCTTTAACTGCACAGGAATCAGCATTGACTCATAACATACTGTCTTCTCTATCACTACTCTCATTATCCAAACATGAAGCTAAACATCCTTCTTAAGCCCTTATTAACAAGACACAGAAACTCCAGCAATGGCTAACAGATGCACTGAAGCAAATAATGCACTTACATATTAATTTGAAACTTATATTTAGGATGTTTTACTGGTAACCCCATATCAAACAACATTCAAAGTCAAGAATCCTATCCCACACCACCTTTATTCTTGTCTAAAATATTAAATTTAAGAGTCATACTTGCAAGTCAAAACCAAAGACTGTGTATCACCTCCTTCTGCACAAGCTATTACATAAGAGACCAAAGACCTCCACATCCCTCTGGAAGTGCAGGCACTTCAGTGTAAAATGTTACTGCACTACACTCACCAACACTGTGAGCAAGAGCAAACACTCCAAAGTCTTTGAGATTCAGAGACAACAGTACTTTGATTATGGTTAAATGGAGAAATAGTTTTCTCCATCTACTACTACAGGCAAGTAGGAATTTACAGATTTGTTTATGACAAATACAATTAGACTAATTAAAACATGGGGAAAAGGCTGCTGGCTTCCACAAAAGACCAAACAGACAAAAAAACAAACCACTAACAGAAGATACAAGTTCTTTGAAAGAACAACTGAAAAAAAATAAAAAAATCTACATAGGCAGAGTCCCTATTGCTTGTAAAAACTTGCTGTTAGAAAGAATCATTTTTAGCACAGGAGAAAATTACCTAAGAAGTAACAAATCTTGTCAAACACACATTCCTAATATTACATGCAAGAAATACACAGTCAAAACTCCTTGATCTTCATTCAACACTCTGGATTACTGTGATTCCCTCCACCTCCTGTCCCTTCACCACAGTGTGCATACGACAGACTATTTTCAAAAGCTTGAATTTTAAATATCATTATTCAGACAAAAAAAGGATACTGTTTCATAACTTCTTTGTACTTCACGGTGTCCCTGATATCTAGGGTGGAAAGACATATAAGCAGTTTTTCAACCCCCATCTGGTCAACATCAGCTAACAAAGCATACCTACCTATCTGTCTGTATTGCTAGAGGTCCACCAGTGGAACAGACACCCCAGTCGTTCCTCTGGCTGCAGCAGCAGAACGACTTGTGTACCTGCACTGTCATTCTTATCCTTTGGAGAGGCTGGCTGCCATACTTCACAGAGCGTAAGAGACAAGATTGTCACGAAACTAGGGACTGGTATGCTCTTTGGAAGAGCTAAACATAAGATCTGTTCTATTGCTAAAATGTTTTCTCTAAAATTCGTGTCTTTTGAAGTGCTTTAAAGCTCTTTGTTGATAGCATATGTGTATGCAGGGAACCAGAGCAAATCTGCTAATCCTTTCATCACTGATAAAAAAAAAAGCCTCCAGAACCCAAACAGCTCCAATCACAACAGACGATATTAAAAATGTACAAATGCATTGGAAGAATGGCTTTGGTTCTAAAAGTACCCACAGTAACGACTGTTTGGAAAAAAGAGCTACAAATAAATAAAAAAAAAAAAAAAAAAAAAAGGAAAAAAAATACTCCAAGTCTTTCTTTTATTAGAACTTGGACTCTCTTAAGGGAATGCAAGCAGCCCAGCTTGTATGGCCTCACGTATTCGCTTCCGCGGAACACAAGAAGAGCACTGTCCGCGAACCGGTTCTCTCTGTTTAAGGCCCCACGTCCCTGCTGTCTCCTGGCGGACTCCAGGCCGTTCCTCCGGCCCGGGCCCGCCCGTCCCGCAGGGCGCAGCACTCACCGATGTTGGCGGGGAAAGGCAGGTTGTGCACGGCAGGGTCCAGGTTGATCACGTACGGAGGGCAGCGCTGCCCGTGTAAATGGGCGGCCAGGCGCTGCGGAGACACCGGGGGGACATCAGGTCCCGCTGGGCAGGGGGGTAGCCCCGGCGGCAGCCGGCGACTCCCCGCAGCCCCTCGCGAGTTCCGCAGCCTCTCACCTGCACGAAGGTAGTTTTTCCGGAGCCGGCCATGCCCAGCACTAGCACACACACAGGAGCTGACCCCGCGGCTCCCGCCACCGCTGCCATCTTCCCAGAGCCCACTTGTCCTTCCGGGGCGGGGAGCGGCCGCGACCCAGACGTGACGCGCACGGGCCCGGTTGTGGCCCTGCTGCCGCCCGGGACGCGCCGCGGGCCGGGGAGGCCTCGTGGCGCAGCGCGGCCCCGCGCGCGCCGCAGCAGCGCGGGGGGCTCGAGGCGGCCGCGCGCCAGGGCCGGCCGGAAGCGGCGGGCGGAACCGCGCCTGAGGGCGTGGCGCTGACGTGGCGGCGGCATCGGCACCATGCGGGGCGGCGGCGTCTCGGTGAGTGTCTGCGGTCTTTCCAGCGGTGCCGCCGGCGGCTGCGCCGGGGAGCCTGGGTGGTCCGCGGGTCACTGCGAGATGGGCTCCGGCGTCGGGATGGCGGGAGCGAACCGGCTTCCCCGGGACCGCCGGCGGCGCTGTGCGGCCCGGCCAGGCGCGGTGAGCGGCCCTGAACGGGTGGCGAGCGGGACGCGCTCCGGGCTCCCGGGGAGCAGCGGCGGGAGCGGCCCATCTCCGCCCGAAGGCCAGGCTGTCCCCCGAGGCCTCGAGCTGGACCCGGTTTTGTTCGGCCCGGAACTGTGCAAGAACCCGGAGCAGGGCGATGCTGGCGCCGGTGGTGCGCTTTGTTGTAGGAGGACGTAGTTCACGGAGTGTGTGGGTAGAAACGGGAACGTGGGGCTGGAACAGGGAGTTCACCGAAGGACACTTAGCCCTTCCGCGCCTCGCGGGGACAGTCGGGGCCCGCAGGATGCCCGGTGTCCCTGCTGGCACCTTCATCACCTCCAGTTTCCTTATCAGCCTCCTCACCTTGGGGAGTTTCTGTGCTGTACCGACGGTGCAGCGCCGTCTTGCCGGGCTGGATGCTGTAGAGCAGCCCGTCTCCAGCAGCAGCCGTGTTCCAGGTCACCGGCATGGCCCGGTCCATGGGCAGGCAAAATTCACCAGTCTCCCATCTTTTCAGCCTCTGGCCCGCTGTTTCACTTCTTCTCACCAAGGTGTAAAGGAAGGTGATTTTTTGTTTTCCCTTATGTCTAGCTGCTGAGCATTCCTGCATACTTTAGGTCTCTGTTCTTTAAGTCGGAAGTAAACTGTATAAATGAAAAAAACATGCAGAACTTAAACACCAGTTTCTATAGATGTTTCCTTCATAATTGCTGTTATTAACTTCTTAGAAAGGAAAGCCTGACAGATCATTTTCACTCTCCTTTTTTATTGCAGATCCTTAACTGCCACCAAAGTTCTTCATACTAATCTTCACTCTTACGCAAATTTTTTTAGTTATAGAAACCCCATGCATCTTGAAACACGGCATGTTTGTCAGTCATTTTGGTTCTTCTAATCTTAGATTAAGCCAGTGAGTTTCAGCAGACTTTGCCTGCCTGTTTATTCATTTTTATCATTGTAACTTCAAAGCCCTGATTTTTTCTGTCTGCTGCTCATTGAGGTTTCTACACATTTCTCATGTGGAGATTTCCCAGACAATGCTGTTGACACTACTGTTTGGGTGTAAATAATGCAAACACAAACATCCAATTGATTTTACTTCCAAAGAGACAAGATTTGATTGTGAAGTCATTGATCAAGCAGTTGTGAATTTTATCCTGCTCCTTCCCTAACATTTCCATGAGTAGACTCTGGGGCTGGAGGCCCACAGAGAGACTGACACTCCATAGGTACAGTTTACTCATTCATGTATTGGTATCACTGCCTGCTACTGAACTTCTTAACTGGTGGTTGGGGTGTCTCTCACCATTGCTAGTGTGAATCACATTTTTCTATAAAAAAGACAGGTAATTTAGCCATCATTTTTTTTTCTGTTTTCTTTTTTTGTGGGGGGAGGGTTTTGTTTGTTTTGTTTCATTGGAATTTTTGTTGGGTTTTTTTTGTTGTTGTTGGTTGGTTGTTGGTGGCTTTTTTGGGGTTTTATTTGTTCTTCCAGTTTCTTAGCTGATTCATGTACATGGCAAAGTACTACCTTGGTTGCCTAGATTACAGTTTAGGTAATATATATACTTGTACTGGGCAATATTTTTTATTTTCTAGTCTGTATGACTACTGTTTTTGTCCTGAGTTTTCTAATGAAGAAATGGCATTCAGTCATGATTAGTATTTGGAAGAAGGTGGTGGTACATGATTGTCCATGTGCTAGGAGCAACATACAGCAAATGAGTTGTTCGTACTGACTTGTAAATGTACTTTTACAAATGTGTGTTAAATTACATGTCTTAATATAAACATAGCAAGTGATAAGTGACATAAAATCTTTGTTGTGGAAGAAAAAGGTTTCTCTGATGTGGATAAAGTGAACATCTGGGCAGTTGATGGAGTATGATAAAGTGAGATAAAAAATGGGGGCATGAAGGAGACTAGAGACAACATTCTTGGCAGGGTAAATGCAAGAATTACTTCATTAGGAAAAAATAAATACTCTGTGAAAACTAGCAAATTAGTATCTAAAATACACATCAAGCGGTAAAGTATAGGCAGAAAACATATATGGGTGAGTGTACTGGAGACAAAGAATACTCCATCACATCCCATTGCAAGGGGAAAGATTGGCTTTCATATGGGGAGTGTGGAGGGACTCGTCCCCATTTTGATTCCAGTTCCAATTCAGCTGGAGTTGGAAAGGTTAAGCAATTCCAGCTGCAGAAAACAGTGGTTTGTTTTTCAAATGGTGGTGTATGCACATCCTCAAAGTGCAGGTGATTGTGCTTGGCTGCATACTGAAAAATGCTAAAAGTAAACAAATGATGCTGCTAATGTGAAGTTTTCTGCCTTGTTAGGACACCAGGACTGGACATCACAGACAGCAGAAGCTCAAGAAGTCCTTGGAAAATAAAAAGTATGTGAATGTTTTTTTTGTCTAGTTTGATTGAGGGCAAGAAAAACGCTGAGAGAATCCTAGTGGAAAACCATATCTGGTCTTTATATAATATTCTGAATTTTAAGAGCTGCAACAATTTTAATTACTGTGTTGAGAGTCTCAGCTGCCTTCACTTACTGGTTTGTAGGAAAAGTGCTTTTCTGACACTTCAGTGTGTATTAGCTTTCATTTAGTTTTTTTTAGGGATTTTAACATTGTGAAGAAAAATATTCTAAGTTCAAGACTAAGTGGTGCTCCAAAATCTGTGTATTTTGGGTGTGATTGCAACTTAAAGACTTTAATTTGAGAAATCCTCTCCCCATGCTTCTGCAGTACCTCCTGAAACATAGTATGTAATGACCTGTCCTGGTGCCATCCATCTCCCCTCCTTATTAATTCCTGGATTGATGTGTTAAAAGGTGAGCTCCACGGCTCTGAGTATTAATAGAATGGCCATCACAGTCATCGCTTGAGTGATCTAGTTACTTCAGTTGGTAATTGTAGTAGCAATGGGATATACTGCAAAATGTTTCTGTTTCATTCTTTCCTCTTTAGATAAATGGCATTTGCCCAGAGAATAGATATTCTGTGTTTCTTTGACACCTCATTCAGGTTGCTGTCATGTACAGGAATGTAGATGTCCAGGCATTTCAAAGCCTGAGAGAAATACTTTGGAACAGTGAAGCAAAGTTCCCTCTGATCTCTAGGAAAAAAATTCAGTGCTGCTGATTAGTCTAAATGTCTAATAGTCTTAATGTGGTGTGATTTGTAGAATATACTGGAAGGTTGTCTTCATTGCTGAGAGCCTCACTTGTTAAAAATCTTACTGGCTTGAAATCTTTAGTTGCATAATGCCAGCCCTGATTCTGGGAATAGAGACTGAAGGAGATCTTGCCCTTTTTGGGATGGAAAATGTCTCTTTTGTAATGATGGGCTGCAGAAATATTCTTATTTTCCAATGATAAACGCATATTTTTAAATTAAGATTCACTTGTGCCTACTTCTAAAGGTGAGAGTTTGAGGTAGGAGGAATATTTTTTCTGTTGCTCTTGAGAGCTTACTAATGTCATCATCAAAAAGATGTACTGAAAAACAGCACTGAGGATGTTTTATCTTGCTGGCACTTTACAGTTCCCAAAACTCAGAAGATTCAGTGAACTGTGAGATTAATTTTTAGAAAACTTGGGAAGATGAAAAGGATGTTGTCTGTCAAATTTATTGTGATTCCGTGTATATGCATCCATATACAAGTATGTGTCCATATACACAGGAATTCATCTTGATGTTTTCCAGGTCTAAGCAACCTGAGGTGGTGGAAACTGCTGTTATAGGAGTGAACAGTAACTATGATGACACAGTCACCAACATTTCCTCTGCCTCACCAAAGGGCCCAGTGAATGGGAGTGCAGAGCCCAGGAGCAAGCGGACCATTCGCAGGCCTGCTTACTGGTTGGAAATGAGAGGAATGAAAAACAGTGTTAACAAATCTTCAGAAAAAAAAGGTATTTATCACTGTCACTCCAAGGCAAAACTGCTTTTCTCTCTGGTTCATCAGTGAGAGATTGATTTGCTCCTGAAGGACATGCTAAAATTCGACCAAAAATTACAAGCTTGCTAGTGTTCTTCATGTATTAGAAGAAATGAACTTCTACCACTGCGCAAATATGGGTACAGTTCTCTGACATTACACAGTTCCTTTTAAGTGATTTGTCTATTAAAATAATCATTCTGTGGCCAAACTCAGTTCTATCTGTAGAAGAGATAAGTTTGAGTTACACCAGTCATATCAGAAGTAAGCTTCAAGAGCTTTAAAAATAGAACCATCAACACTAAAAAATGTGGCAGAGGGGACTGTTCAGCAGTATTTCAGATTCGAACAGCTTTTGTAGTTGATAGATTATTGTTTTTTAAGGATGTCTTTATTTTCTCACGTTCGTCAGTTATAATTTTCTGATTTGGAATGGTTTGGGTCTTAGGTTGTAGTAGGAACGTTCAGATTTCCTGGCCTAGGAGCTGTTTTGCGAAGCTCTTGTGTGGCAGAGAGTCAAAACTTCAGTCTTCTTCAATGTATTTTCTTCTTACCTCTAAGTCAGGATCCATATTCCATTCTGTTATGTGGAGAGGGAAATTTGGTAGTTTGATAGAAGTGAGATTGCTGTAGCTCCTCACCCCCAGGTCCAGTCAACAGCAAGACTAAGTATTCCTGTTAGGAATAAACACAGACGTACAACATACATAATCAGGAGCCACACATATCAGCATTCACAAAAACAGCATCAACAGCCTCCATCCTTAAATACTCAATCTACTCAGTACCTGACCTTTGGATCCCAGTCTCCTCAGCTGCTGGTCCATGGATGTAGTGGCCCCTGAGGCCTATAAAACTGTGCCAGTGGAGAGTGAAGACCTCCTTACAGACATCCTTGCAGACCCTGCTTGGTGTCAGACATGATAAGATTTTTATACTGACCAGTCACCTATTTACAAGGTGGTCTTTGCTATCTTCTTACACCTCTATTTTCCCCACTTGATCAACTCCAAATCAGGTAATTCTCTCCCCTCCCTTTGATACCACTCCTAAACATCCTAATTATTTTGTAATGTTGAGTTGTTCTCCACTCAGATCCCAGGTGCTACATAACCCTTGGCAGTAACACCACGCTTTCCCTTCTCACTGTTCCCCCCTTCCCTTTTCCAAAGGGTACTTCAGAGAGGCGTTCACACTGACTTATCCTTGTGGGTCTCCTGAGACAGGAGGAAGCTGTCTGTTTCTTAAAGTCTTTAATTGGTGTTTCCTGCCTACCATTGTGCTTCTGTGCTCAATCTGTATTCATGGAGATAAGACTTGGATAGGCTTGGAAATATTCAGGGCAGGCATGGTATTATTTGGGTTTGTGTAAGCTCCTTTTTGTGTGAGTGCAGGTGAGGTTTTTATGAAAAAACCTAGTACTTTCTGTCTCTTTTTCCTGAGGACTATTTATCCAGGCCATGTTGTGGCACTGTTTCTTCTATACCTGCTGTATCAAAGTATTGTGGGCAATGGGGTGCCTAAATGTTGCTGAGTGAGAAGGCTGTATCCAGTTCACTGGTGTCCAGGTGCCTCACAAGAACTACTTTTTTTTTTTTTTTTCTCTACTAAGTGTTGAAAATGAGGATGAGGCAGCAGTAGACTCCAAGCTGTTATCCAGACTGAATACTGAGACTGAAGCATATCTGTTCTTATTTACCAGGAGAAGTACTATTGAAAGGCAAGAGGAAATCTGAGCAAAGGGAAGGCAAAGATGTTAAAGACTCTCCCAAGAAGAAGCAGAAGATTTCAGGTAATACAAATAGCTTGTAATTCCTAATTACAAGCCTTCAGGTACTTCAGACTTCTCTGCCCAAATGACATCTTCTGGAGTCTTCATACTCTGTTTCTGGTTCTGAATGTTTTGTTCTAGGAGACCATTAACTAGTGTCTGCTTAATCGGTGGGAGGTGTTCTACTTTCAGTCTGTCTTAGAAGTCCAACAAAGGGAAGGAGGCAGGGAATTATGGGAAGTGTAGGCCAGTCTGCATCATTTCAGTTTCCCAAAAGATTATAGACTAAATAATCTGACATTACTTGTAAACATCTGGAGATTAAGCAGCTGATGACAGCAATATGAGTTTGTTAAGAAGAAATCAAGTCCAAACACTTTTTTTTTTACTTTTTTTTTTTTCCACAAAGATCAAGGGGCGAAGTGCTTGACATTATAGGTCTTTCATTCCTTCAAAAGGTTTGTCAGTCAGTAGTTAGGTGCAAAAGAAGGTGTACAAGTGGTGAAAGTAGGAGCAGATGACACAGAAGTGCACATTTGCTGTCCAGTCTTGCAAGGATGAGGTTAGGAAAGCCAAAGCCAGCCTGGAGTTGAATCTCGCAAGGGATGTGAACAGCAACAAGAAAGGATCCTACAAGTACATGAACAGCAAAGGGAACACCGGGGAAGGTGTGCGTGCACTGCTCATCAGAGCAGGGGAGCTGGTGACAAATGACACAGAAAAGGCTGAGGTGCTCAGTGTTTTCTGTGCCTCGATCTTTATTAGTTAAAGGAGTCCTCCAGGAATCACAGGAGCCTGAGACCAGACAGGGAAAGTCTGGAACAAGGAAGCCATACATTCAGTGAAAGAGGTCGAGGTTAGAGCACCTAAACAAACTGGATTTACCAAATAATTTGCCAGTAGTTTTGGTTAAGTGAGAAGGTCTGAGAGGAGTGGAGGTTAGCCTGTGTGTCACTCATCTGCAGGAAGGGTCAGGAGGATCCAGGAAACTACAGACGTGTTGCCCTAGCCCTAGTGCCAGGGAAGGTCATGAAGCAGATTATCTTGGCTACTATTATGTGGCCATCTACAGGACAACATGGTGATCAGGCCCAGGCAGAATGAGTTTAGGAATGGCAGGTACTGCTTGACTAACCTGGTGTCCTTATATGACAAGGTGATGCACGTGACAGATGAGAGAAGGGCTGTGGATGCTATTTACCTGGACTTTAGTAAAGCCTTCTGACACCATTTCCCACATCATTCTTCTGGAGAAGCTGGATGCTCATAGTTTGGACAGGTGCACTCTTTGCTGGGTAGAAAATTGGCTGGATGGCTGAGCCTGGAGAGTCGTGCGGAATGGAGTGACATCATCTGAGACTGGTCAGCAGTTGTCTTCCTCAGGGCCCAGTATTTGGCCAGTCCAGTTTAATATCTTTATTGATGGTCTAGATGAGGGCATTCAGTGCACTTTCAGTAAGTTCACAGATGACACCAAGTGGAGTGGGATGTGGATCTACTACAGAGCAGGAATGCTCTGCAGAGGAAAACAAGACAGTCTGAAATGACAGGCCAAGGCCAACAGTGTGAGGGACAACAAGGCCAGGTGCCAGGTCCTGCCCTGGGGTCACTATAACCCCATTAAGCACTCCAGGCTGGGGCAAAGGAGCTGGAAAAAGCCCTGCGAGTGTTGGTCAAGAGTGGCTCAACACAAGCCCAGCTGTGCCCAGGTGGGCAAAAGGCCATCCAGTGGCACCCTTACTGTGCCAGCTCTGGGGTGGCAGCAGGGCCGGGGCAGTGCCCGTCCCCTGTGCTGGCACTGCTGGGGCACCTCCAGTACTGGGGGCAGCTCTGGGCCCCTCCTGCCAGGAGAGCCCTGGAGGGGCTGGAGCGTGTCCAGGGCAGGGAACGGAGCTGGGAAGGGGCTGGAGCCCCAGGAGAGGCTGAGGGAGCTGGGAAAGGGGCTCAGCCTGGAGAAAAGGAGGCTCCGGGGGGACCTTGTGGCTCTGCACAAGTCCCTGCCAGGAGGGGACAGCCAGGAGGGCTCGGGCTCTGCTCCCAGGGAACAGGGACAGGACAAGGGGAAATGGCCTCAAGTTGTACCAGGTTTAGATGTGATACTGGGAGCAATTTTTTGCCTTAAAAGGACTGTCCAGCCTTGGCACAGTTGCCCAGAGCAGTGGTGGAGTCCCCATCCCTGGAGGGATTTGAAAGGTATGTGGATGTAGTACTTGGGACATGGGCTAGCGGTGGCCTTGGGAGTGTTGGGGGAACTATTTGACTTCATAGTCTTGGAGGGCTTTTCCAGCCTAAACAATTTATGATTCTAAGTCCTGTGGGGCCTGACAGGTTGCACTAAGTGCCAAGAGCTGGCTGATGTAATTGTGAGGCCATTCTTGATTGAAAGGTTATGGTGACTGGCAGAGGTTCCTGGAGGCTGGAAGAAAGAAGATATCACTCATATCTTCAAGGACAGAAAAGAAGATCAGGGGAACTACAGGCCAGTCAACCTCAGTCCCTGGGAAGCTGATGGAGAGAATCATCCTGGAATGCATTTCCAAACACATCAAGGACAAGATGGGGATTTGGAGTAGTCAGCATGGATTCATGCAGGGCAAATCATGCTTAAATCAACCCAATACCCTTCTACAATGGGGTCACTAGTTTGATGAAATAGGAGTATAGAAAGATGGTTCACAGTCTGTCCCTATATTCAATTCTAACTATTGTTTTTGTCACCAAGGACTTGGAAGTATATAGACAGCACAAAGCTGAAAGTGACAGCAGGTGTATTGGAGAAAAGACTAAAAGTGAAAATTATCTTGATGATAGAGAAACAATTTAAAAATAGAACAGAGATCAGTGTAAAATTAAAGATGATATAGTTTGGGAAGAAATACTTCTTCACGGCTGGAAAAACAAATAGCCTCCCAGAAGTCAGTGCTTCAGAAGAGGATTCAAGATCTATAACAGATCAAAAGCTGACTAGGGACCAGCAGTGTCATAGTTGCTTTTAAGAAGGCAGATGTTAGACTGAGAGCTTTGAGAAGGAATGTAGACTTTGTGAAGTAATTAGATATGTGAAGTAATTCTGTTGTAATGCAGGGTCACCATGGAGTGCTGTTTCCAGGAGTAGGCACTGCAGTTCAGGAAATGTGTGGGACAACTGAAGAGGACAGGAGAGAGCCAGCAGCATAACCCATATTGAAACAATAAGAGTTTCTTAGTCTAAAGAAGACAGGAATGAGTAGAGAAATGAGACTCTCCATTTTGGTTGATGAGTCCATCAGATGGACTCAGCCAAACTGCACAGAGGATGTTTCAATGTGAAGAATTCCCATCGCCTGAGCTTTGTGTATGAACAGCCATAGCACTTACAAATATTTGGGTGGGACTAATGACTGACACTATAAATAGATTTTGAAAGGGAGTAGAAAACATAATCCTGATGTTGCTTTAGAAAAAAAAACCGCTGAACATTTCTGAATAACTTTGAGACAGCAGACTGAATAGTAGCCTTTTAGAAAAAAAAAAAAAAAGGCTTTTTATTGTAACAAAGCTAGCAGAAATGAGTCTTCTGGCTTGTCTTGTTTGTGTTATGACAGGGAAAAACCAGCAAACTGGAACAAAACAAAACTCCAGAACAAAAGGCCACTGTGTTCAGAAAGAGCCAGAAACCTATGGCACAGGTAAGAAGAGGCAGTAGCTAAGAATTGTTTATGAAGCAGATAAAAGATAAATGTGGTTCTAGGATTTGAATCTGAGCAACAGCTGTGTTTCTGGTGTTTCCATTCAGTAGTTCACTTTACCATTGACAAGGAAGAGCTGGCTGTTGTCCTGGCAGTGTGTCAGTACTGCAGAGCAGGACTGAAAGGACTGCACACTGCCCAAGTTGCACGTGCTCTTGCCATTGCATCATGTAATAGTGAATGGGGAATCACTTTTTGAACTGAGCAAAAGCCTGTTAAAATAGTTGCATTACTAAACTCAGAAAAATATTTATAGTTTTTACTCAGCAGAATATGTGTGCAGGAAAAACTTGGTAGCCGTTGCCGCCAGATTACCTTTTTTAGGAACCAGAAACCCAAGCAATCTCACTGAGAAAAATAAAATTTGCCTTGATTCATTATCATAGCACTCATTAAACACCTCAGTTTTATGCCAAGTGCTGTTTGATTCACAAACTTTTCCCCCAGCCTACTGGAGAGGGACAGCCTAGGCCTGTTATTATTGGGAAAAGAGGAAAGGCTTTTGATCTTGTTATGGTAAGAATTCAGGCAGATAGCTGCTAAACCACTTTCTTCCCAGAACCTCTTTCAGTAATTTATAATCCTTGTGGATTATGCCAAACTTCTGCTTGAGATTTCAAAAAGAGGCCAGAAACTGGAAGCCATGCCACACAGGGTGCTTTTCCCTGGCTGTTGAGTAACTTGACCTGGTGGTCTGACTGCTTTTACTATGAAAACACTTTTGCCAAAAGAAGAGTTTGCTTAGCGTGCTAAAGTAATTGTGCAACAGAAATTACAAAGGAAAAATGTCCACTGGTCAGGTAGAAGAACACTCATTACAAGGGAATGGTAGATTAAAGATTGTTTGTAAAATGTTCTTTGCAAAGGAGGGATGTGTGCCTTGTGACATTACACACCTAAGGCTGTAAATGAGCTAGATGTATTGAAGTGCAGCCGGACACAAGTTTGGTAGCATGTGACCTGTTTCTTTTTAAGGTTCACTGTGCACATGGAAGGAGAAAAAAAAACAGATCTTGTGTTAGCACTTTTATTCTAAACATTGTGCTTTGACAGGTAGTATGGAAGAGCAATGGTCTTTAGAGATTCAGGACAAAGGCCGAGTTACCTGTCCAACATGCCGGGCTGTGGTGAGAAAGACTGTAGAAGGATTGAAGAAACATATGGTAAATTGCAGGAAGGTAAGAACACAAGAGATGAGCAATGGTTTCTTTACTCCTCTTCAACTTACTGATAGAAATGCCTACCTATTTTGTGTTGTATTTAAAACCAGTTTTGTCTTATCATCATGTCCCTAAGCAAGAGTCCTTTATACAGTTGTAAGAATAGTGCTTGCCCAGCCTTTTGCTGGAGGTTTGGGGTAGTGAACAAAGGTGTAGTTATTTCATTGTTCCACTAAACTTTAGACTCCATAAAATCTGTTCCTAGAAGACAGTTACCAGGCCCAAATAAATTGTTCTGCTCTCCTGCTCCTTTCCCCTTAAGAGTTTTCCACTGCTTTGGTTAATTTACAGTTAAATGCACCAAGTCCTTATTTATTTCTAGGAAATGTTCACATGTCATCACTGCGGGAAGCAGCTGAAGTCTTTAGCAGGGATGAAATACCATGTCATGGCAGACCATAACAATCAGGTAATATAACTGTTGTACATCTAAAACTGCTATAGGCAGAACAAGCTTTGCTCCTTTCCTGATACACACAGAAACAGAACATGGAGTGTTTTTTTCAAGTGTTGTAGCTGTTCAAGTCTAGTCTAACTATTATTTTTCCACTGAGACTTGACATCTGAAAAACAGTAGAATGTTACCAGAGATGGTAGGCACGCAACGTCATAGAAAGATGGTTTCTGTTTAGGCTGATAATGTCGCACGTAAAAGGTATTCCCAATCAGAAGGAAAAAGATTAGGCTGCAATTTTCAGTCCTTTGCTAGAAAGGAGGAGGTTTTTCTACATCCAGAGCAGACTAGATTTGAGGTAAAATAGCAGAAGCAGCAATTAGTTCTTGTCTCTCTTTACAGTAAAAATAGTAACCTAACACTAGATAAGTCCTAATACTACAATCTGCTTTTCCTCTTTGCTCTTCCTTTAAAGAAGACAATGTCTCCTGTTGTAGTTGTGAAGAATTAGAACTTTTGAAAATGTCGTTTGGAAGTTTGCGTAAAGTTCAGATAATTCACTTTGATTAGTCTAGGTATAATATTAGGTAAAGTAGGAAATAATATACAATAATGATCAGAGAGAGAATAAGGAACTTGAGCTGTAGTTTAGCACAGATGAATAACTGTTACAAGCAGTCAGCTTGACTTCAGTCAGGCTAAGTGGAAATAGTAAGACTAGTAAATGTTTAAGATGCATCATTTCCTGTCAGTTTATTCCTTTTCAAGGTAATCCCGCTTTGGTTTAACCCCAGCCAGCAGCCAAGCTGATAAATTGAGATAAAGACAGTTGAGATAAAGACAGTTCAATAGGTAAAGCACACAAGCAAAGCAAAACAAGGAATTCATTCAGCACTTTCTTGCAGAAAGGTCCAGGCACCTCCAAGACCACAAGGTTCCATCACACAAAAAGTGGCTTGGGACAACAAACACAATCACAAGGGCTATCCCCTTCCTCCTTCTTCCCTCAGCTTTATATGCTGAGCATCATACCATATGGTCTGGAATATCCTGGTGATCAGTTTGGGTCGGCTGTGCCACGATGTTCCCTCCCAACTGCTTGTGCACCCCCAGGCAGAGCAGTGTGAGAAGAGCCCTTAGCGCTGTGCCAGGGCTGTTCAGCAATAGCAAAACCATCTCTACGCTGTCAACCCAGTTCCCAGCACAGATCCAAAACAGTCCCATACCAATTGTCACCCCAGCCAGAACCAACACAGACATAGAGAGTGATCATTATAGTAAATACATGTCTGTAAAATCATAAGTTGCAGAGATTTAATTATTTTAGAAGCTTTCCTGCCCCAGTGTGTTGAATAATGAATTACCCTGTGGAAAGAATTGTAAATGCTGAACATCCTGTGTTTTTCATTTATCTTTCTGCTGTGCTTTAGCCAGTTGTGAAGGAGGGAGAAGAATTGGATGAGCAGCTTGAGCGAGACCGCCTTCGGAAAGTTTTGAAGCGAATGGGAAAATTGAAGTGTACAAGGGAGGTAAGGTGCATTGTGCAAAGTATGAATTAAACAGCAGTGAATGCATAAACATAAAAACATGAGAGCACTGTTGAGTATGCTGTAGTGCTGGCCAAAGCAAGATTTGTTTCAGTATCCCAGCTATGCTTTTACAAGAGAGTAGCATAGAATCATAGAATAGTTTGGGTTAAAAGAGACCTTTAATAGTCATTTCAATGCCAATTCTTTGTTGCAGATTTTGTCTGTCTGAATAGACTAACATGAAAGTTTTCTACCTGCTTGTCTCTGCTCTGTCAGGATAAGTGATAGTACCTTGGTCAGCAAACTGTGGATCCTGTAATCCCCTGAAGAATGATTTTCTTCCATGTATTTTTCTTCTGTGTTGACAGGGCTGCACAGGCAGCTTCACCAGCATAATGGGATACCTATATCATGTTAAAAAGTGTGGAAAGGCTGCTTCTGAGCTGGAGAAAATGGCTATGAAGTGCCACCACTGTGGAAAAGCATACAGATCAAAGGCAGGACTTGTCTACCACCTCCGATCTAAGCACGGGCCGGTGAGTGCACCCTGCAGTGGTTATCAGGGGACTGTGATGGGACTTCAGCCACTTAGTCTTGAGACACATGTAGGCTTTTGTCTGCTACTTTGGTGGGTAATTACAGATCGCAGATCTTTGCATTTTTCCTGCCCCTGGATTTTGTCCTTCATAGTTTCTTTCTAGCAGCAGCTGTTGCTCATCTCTGACTAGGATGAAGTTTTTAATAGTAAATCAGCATGGCAGCAGTAAACGACCTTACTTTTGCTCCATGAAAGAGTGAATGCTAGCATAACTCGTGAGATGCTTTCCTTTGCTCTTAAAAGACTCACCATTGGAGCAGAGCATGTCCATGAGAGTTTTACAGTGAATAATGGAATACCTTTCAAGACTAGCAGCTGCGTGAAGCTCTCTGCTTGAGCCTCACTGCTGTGATCCCTGTGAGCAGATCTGGGGGTCTGTCTGACTAGTGGGATGCACTTCTGTCGTATGTCTCTGATAATAAACCATAGCTGCTGCAGCCTATTTATGAGAGATTTGGCAAAACATTTCTTCCCAGTATTTAGTGTAACTGAAATAGGAAATAGTGAAAGAGGCTTACCTTTTTGGGCCCTCATTGCAGGTCACTTTCCTCCATGAGGAGAGAAGAACAGAGACCCTGAAAGAAATCAAACGGGAGCAAAATAACACAGGCAGAGTTCAGAGGAGATCTGCAAAGGTGGCAATCTACTATCTCCATGAGCTGGCAGGAGAAGAGCTGGCCAAAGAGTGGCCCAAAAGAAAAGTTCTGCAGGACTTGATTCCAGATGACCGGAAGGTACAAGGGCTTAAAAATGCTTTATAGGGTTCAAGATTATACCTTCTCATCTGATAAGTCTTGTACTGGCTCCAACCCCATGTTTATGGCACATGAAAAGCAGTATGTTGCTTGGAGAATTGGGTTCTGCTCTCTCTTGTCTTAGATTACAGTATTTCTGCAACAGCAATTGCTGTGGTGCAAATGTTTTGTTCAGGCAAGCTGTAATGACTGTAAAGTCCTATTGCTGGAATTCTCAGTGGGCACAAGCAACATGGCCAATTATGGGCATGATGTTGCTCACAGTTGATAGGCTCAGGATCATTCCTGCCATGCTGTAAGGCCCCATCAATCCTTCCAGTCTCTCATACATGCTGTGATACTTCACAGTGTTTCAGACTAGAGAGTTTCCAGTAGCGTCTTTCAGGCTGTGAGCGAAACCCAAGGGAAAATGATGCTTTATGATTTCAGCGGGGTAGGTACATTTAGAGGAATTGTTGTAGTCAAGACAATGGGAAGTTTCAGATTCTGATATTGTGGGGGTTTTCCAGATTCAGTTATATTTCTAGAGAGTTGGTGAGACTGGAAACACTCATTATAGGGAGTTTGTTTGTTAGAGTAGGAGAAGAGATAGCACTTCTGTCTCAGCCTAGAAGAGGAAATTCTGCTTAGCTGGCATTACATCCAGGTCTTGATTCCATCTTTGTCTCAGCTGAAATACACTCGTCCTGGACTGCCCACATTTAGTCAAGATGTGCTGTGCAAATGGAAAACGGAGATAAAGATGTACCGAAGAGTCCACTGCCCAAATCAGGTAACCCTTAATTGTTTCTGAAGCCCCAGAGGGGACAGATTTCAGGTCTGTATGAGCCAACAGCTTCCCACAACCTTGAAACTGCAGTTGGTCTCTCTTTGGTATGAGACAAATCCTGCTTCATCTCAATATGGCTGCTTAGTGTAATCAAGACCCTGTTTAGTCTTGGAGATGTCTGAGGATGCTGCTTTTGTCCTTTGCATCAAAAGGCCCTGGGGATGATCCTTTTGGGAATGTGTGTGAACACCTGAGAGCCAGTAACTTGGTATCAGGCCGGTACAGTTTTCTCATCCAGGTGGGCAGTTGGTCCATTTGGAGATCTTAATAGTGGGAAAATGACAGGCTCCTGCCTTTCTATCTAAATCTAATCATAGAAAGAAAAAGTAGAGGTGGAAATACAAGAGTAAAGAGACTTTGTCTGGCACAGAACTTAAGTTTTCTTTATTGCACTAGACCAGCTTTAAGCTCTTTTCAACCTGGCCTTAAGCATTTCCAGGGATAGGGCAGCCCCAGCTTCTCTGGGCAACCTCTGCCAGGGCTTCACCACTCTGACAGGGAAGAATTCCTTCCCAGTATCCCATCTAGTCCGGCCCTCTGGCAATGGGAAGCTATTCCCCCTTGTCCTGTCATGCCAGGTCCTTGTCCAAAGTCTCTCTGTGGCTCTCTTGGATCCCTTTAGTCACTGGACAGCTCAGTTTCCTACAATGCCTTACAGCAATCACCAGTCAGATCCAATGAGAACACACGGCCTCCTTGGTGGAGGTGGTGGTGGGCCATCTCCATGTGATGCCTGCTGTCAGAGAGCCAAGGGTCAGCCCTCTGGGTTTGGTGCATAGATGTTGCCTTCCCCCTGTCCTACCCTACCCCACCCCCAGCACTCTCTCCCCAGTATTCAGGCTAGCATCATTTTCAAGTGTCAAAATTGCAGGACCATGTTGTATTTGGAGCTGTCTCCAGAGAGTAGCTGTCCTGTGTCAACAAGCAGTAACCCAGCAGCATGTCTTGCTCCTGCCTCCTGTTCTGGGACCTGGGCTAAGGGCTGAGCACAGTGTGGTACCCCAAGACTGATGCCTGAAGCTCCCCATGGGACAGACCTCTAAAGGTGCCCTTTAACTGAGACCAGGGATGTTGGGTGCTATATTCCTGCTCTGTGCCACTAGAGACATGAGCAGTGCAGGAGGGAGAAGTGTCTTGTATCTGCCCCGTGAGCTCTGTTTGAAACTTTTCTCTGTTGCACTTTAGGCAGAAAGCAAACTATCATTTTAGTCAGGCTGTTGGTAGAGCATGAGTGTAACTGTCGCAGGAGTCTCTTTATTATGTCCAAGTGTGCTCAGAAACTGGAAATATATATACTAAGCTTAATGAAAACTCTTCTAATGGTCTTTTTACCAGAAGCTTTCTGGCTTTGGAGGATTGGTATCTGCCTGCCTCTGCCTCTCTTCTGTGCTTTTGGGACTGCCCTCCATATCATAATGCTTTATTGTCCATGAAGAAGTGATTTCTTTCTGGCATGTTGTTCACATGTTTGTTTTTTTTTTTTGCTGTTTCAGGGTTGTGAATCTGTATATGGCAGTGTCTCAGGACTCAAGTCTCACCTTGGCACATGTACCTTGGTTGGTAGCCTTCGTCTTATATAATAGCCCCACTGTCCCTGTCCCTCTGATAACCTTTTGTTCAAGGTCTTGTCCTGCCATCTGCTAATCTGAGATCCTCACAAATTCATTGATTCACAGAATACTTTGGGTTGGAGGGGATCTCCAAGATTACCTTATTCCAACCCCCAGTTCAGGTGCTCCCCTACGTGCTAAGGAGGTTCCCATTGCAAACAATGCTTGAGACCAGGAGGAAGCACCTTAATGGCATTCCTTTTCAGCAGTTCTACCTGTAGATTCACAGCTACAAGAGCAGTTTTTCCAGGTGCATTGCTGGAGACCTTATGTTATCTCAGAGAGCAGTGCTGTGCTTCATGGGCACAACTGCTCATTCATGTCAGTGCTCCTATAGGTAAAGCTGTCTGGTATGGATGAGAGTTTCTAGTTTTTATTGCTGGATTCTATCTGAGCAAGATTCAAATGAAATGTATAGATTTATCAGCCTCCTGGTCCAGCAACTCTTTATGGAATTTTTTTGTTTGTTTTGATGCCAGGGAGACTTTGTGGCTGGTAAATACAAGTGTCTGCTGTGTGAGAAGGAGTTCATTTCGGAGAGTGGGGTCAAGTATCACATCAACTCTATGCACGCTGAGGTAAGGCAGGCAGAGTGGAACCTCAAACCCCAGGCTATTGGAGGTGGGGAGAATGTCCTAAGAAGAAAATGCTGGATGTGTGCCATGTTTTGCTTTTTCCTTGCTCACTGTTGGGAACAGGGTCCTTAAACTTAGCTGATCCTGTGTTGGTCTGGGGAGGAAGTCTTGTGTCATGTCACACGCCTTGTCCCAAGCTGCTGCCGTTCTGGTCAGCTCTGCAGCATTTCCTGTGCCTTTAACTAGGCAAATCTGAAATCAAATCTGAATCCTCTGAGACAGAGTGACACCTGAGGAGACACTTCAAAGAACAGAGCATTGTTAGGCAGTTGCCTTTCCAGAGCTCACATTTCAGGGAAACCTTGTCCCACAAGGCAGCCCTGATAAGCTTGATTTGGTATTTCCACCACCATCAGTACCAACCTGTTGCCTTCTAAACCTGCAGGACTGGTTTGATGTGAATACAACGACCACCAAAAGCTTTGAGAAGCTGATGAAAATTCGCCAAAGGGAAGAGCAGAGGAAGCAACGGAAGAAGCGTCCTTTGACCAGGGGCAAAAAAAAGAGAGCTGGAACGCTGGTTGCCAAGAAGCTCCCCACTGTTGGAGTTGAAAAAATGAGGAGAAGTAAGAGAGGTGGTCCACAATGCGTGGACAATGAGAGTGCAAGCAGTGAGGAAGGGGCACCCCAAGTTTCACAGAGAGATGAAGTTCCAAAAGCCAGCTGCAAGCGAATCCGAAGTAAATCCCTAGAAGATGAGAAGGAGTAATTCTAAAGCTTTTCAGTTACAAGTCCCACTTCTGTCAGGCTCATAACCCACAGCACTAATATAAGCAACTGAATGTCTTTGGGACTGTGACTCAATTCTGCGGGTGACTTTGATACTGAAACTTCTGTATCAGTTGTGAGGTCTGGTCGGTTGTGAGGAATACAAACCAAAGCTGTGGTGCAGAGGCTGCTTCTGCTGGTGTAGTTTCTTTTGGACAGTGGCACTAACAGTGTACCCAGTGTGATTCCTGCTCTGGTTGCAGTCTCAGTTTGGTCATACTAGTTGCTTGTTTAGTGGTTTCCAGTACAGCAAGTGTTTGTTTTGTCATCTTCCTCTGATGTGTGAGATCACATCAGATCACCACAAAAAAGGGTTCTTTTTTACAGTTCTTCTCATAAGGGACTGACTAGCACAATGTTCAGGTCTCTTCAAGGTGGAAATCCATTCTTGCACAGAATGCACACAAATTAAACATGAAAACAGTGCTGTGCAGAGTGCAAAGACTCCAGCTTGCCCTGTCACTCTGCTGTCTGATGTCAGCAAGGCTGCCACAAAAGAGACCTTCTCAGTGTTTGCTGTATCCTGTTGCACAAGGCTCTATTTCATACACCGGTGTTTACGCTCAGCACCAGCGCGTGTACTTGAAAGGGGATGGAAGGTCATTATTACCCTTGTCAGGAGCTCACTGTTCCCCTGGTGTCTGTCTCCTGTAATGCTGGATGTTGAAGATATGTAGAAAGTCTTCCAGTGCTGCAAGGACTGAATGTTCTCAAGCCCTTTGGAGATTCACTAGCCTTTCCAGAGCCCCCAGTAACTAATGTACTGAGATGGCCTTTGTGTACCCTCTGAAGCCCACTTGTTTCATGCTCACCTGGGAAACATACTGCAAGACAGTGCATATCGACATGAGCAGCCTGCTAGTGCTGGGACCAAGTTCCATGAAGCTGTCTTGCCAGCTTGTGGTTCTTTGTCATGCCATTGCTCCCACAGTGTCCTTTTACCCTGCTCGACAGGTACCATTTTCATTGTCTTACATACCCTGTTTCTTTTCAGTATCACCTCTCTGTGCAAATGAGCTGTATTAGCAGTGGCTTCCCTGTGTAGAAAAGGTTAAAAGAAGAGGGGTCAATATTTTAAGTCATGTGTTGGCATTGGATCATAAGGAATAATATCTTCCTGTGCTCCATAAATCATAGAACATTAAGGGATTGGAATGGACCTTAAATATCATGTAGTCTCACCCCCCACTGCCATGAGCAGGGACAGATCCCACTGTACCAGGTTTCTCAAGGCCTTACCCAACCTGGCTTTGAACACTGTCAGGGCTGGGGTATCCACAGCCTCCCTGGGCAACCTGTTCCAGTGTCTAAATGCAGCAGATGTCATAGAGGCTAGCAGGAGGCAGCAGCACAGGCAGTCCTCTTTTTCTAAGAATGGGTTCTCCAGAATCTCTGTTATCCAAAGACCCACTGTATCAGAAAATTGCAAAATTTGCACTGTCTGACAAAGTTGCTGGTGCTGAAATTCACAGGGAAGCCATTGCAGTGTCTGGGGAACAGGCAGGTTTGTACATGTGTGTTAGTACCAGCATGATCACATTGTTCTTGACAGTGGGGAGTAAATACTGTAGGACCAAGGTGGTCTCAAGAGCTGCCTTTGGAACCAGGTGCTGCTGTGTTTGCAAGTGCTGTGCTGAAAGTAGATGTGTGGACAGTGCAGGGTGTGTAAAGTCTGCAGTGAGATGGGCAAGATCAAAAGGCAGCAAAATAAAATGCCACCAGTGCAAGAATGTGGTTTCTTGTCTGTTTGGTGTGTGATGTTCTTGGTACCATCCCTCCTCACATAATCCTGCCTGCCTGCAGGATTGTCCTGCATGCTCTGGTGCTGTCCAGTTGTCTTCACAGTTTATCTTCAGAACTCCACAGCGCTGTACTTCCAGCAAATGTTCGCTACGTTCCCACTCAGTACAATAAACCCAGGAATTAAAGAAGGTTTTTCATGGTGGTTTCCAGCCTAGAGTCTTGTTTCCTGTCATTCCTGAGTTACTAACTAGACCTGCTCTCTAGACATGGATACTTTGTGACCACTTGGGTTTTGTACTTACTTTAAGGTACTCCTCCACGTAACATGGCAGGTGGATAAAAAGCATTCTCCAACAATCCATCTCTGTCTATCGGCATTACAGCAGATTGTTGGCTGGATTGGCTCAAGCTGGGATGAGGTGGTGCTGCTGCTGCCACCTCACCTGCCACCTGTCCACTGTTTATGAAGAGAGATATCTGTCCTGGAGCACCTGCATCCTGCTCTAGTGGGGCTAAGGCAGCCGTGCTCTACTGCTCTGAGGGCAAGGAATTTAGCAGAGAGGCAGAATCACCTGTCTCACCTGCTGTCCACACTGCTGGAGATGCAGCCCCGGATACTGGTGGTTTCAGGGCTGCCAGTGCACATGGCAAGGTTGGGTCCAATTTTGTTGTCCCTAGGACCTTGTCCACCAGGCTGCTCTCCATCCATGGATTCCCCAGATTCTTCTGCAGCACATCACTCTCCTCCAGCAAATCAATTGCACCAAGCAGCTTGAATGAAGACATTGCGTAGTGTAGGCAGCAGGCCCTGGAGAAACACTGTCCACTGCCCCAGAAAACTGGTCCTTGCTGTTATCAATTCTACTTGAGCAAGTACATACTTAGAAAGAGATCCAGTTTTGAACAAATCAGAAGTGACAAAAGAAACCAGCTAGTCACTCAATATTTGTTGTAGTGATTCATTGTACTAAAAATGCTGTGTCTTCTCATCAGAGCTTGTTTTTATTTCAGCCTCTATCCCATACTGCTGGGTCCTGGTAACTGAAATAGCTTTATGGTGTCAGAAATTTCTTCCTGCATATTTGTAGTCATAACTAACTCCATACAATATTTGCTGTATGAGCTAAGGAGGCTTGCTAGTCTCAGTCAAAATAGGTTTTTCTCTTTTTTTTTCTGTTGTGCATTGTTCTTTGCTGACATGTTATATATTGGTTGGTGCATTTTTCACTTTTTAAGTCCAGAGAAATGAACCAGGAACCAGCTGCAGTATTCTATAACAGTCTGGTTTATCTAAGATACAATGATAACCTTGCTCTGCTCTCACCTACCTCTTTGTCCTCAGCTCCCTCACTACACTGATACTCACTTTTACCCTCTCAAGCACATTTTTCAGTTGTTCTGCAAATGCCTCTGGGAGCTCATTTCTTTTGTTTCTAGGAGCTCAACAGGGTTTAAGACGATGAACACATTCTGAAACATTGTGGTGTACTTCACAGAACTACTCTAGCAGAGATCTTAATAACCATGTTTTGTACAGTAACTTTTTCTAGAAAGCTTGGTGTTAATCTACAGATTTTCTTTGCAATTGTTACATAATTTCATTAACTTTCTTGATAAAGATGTCAAATAGGTGCAGACTCTGGGATTCTCTAGGACAAATCCTTATTTACAATTACTTACTATCAAGCATTAAATGTATTCCACCGATGCTTGTATAACATGTGGGGCCAAGAACAAGGCCTCACTGAGATTTATGATGTCAACAGCTATTTTTACCTAAACGGACTTGTAATTAATTAAAGAATAACATTTACAGAAAATTCTTCTCTGTGAAACCACGTTGGCTGGGTTTTACTTATGATGCCCTTTAATGTCAGTTGTTGGCGTGTCTGGGAGATTTCAGACTAAGCTGTACTTACACTCATCACGCAGCTTGTCTTTTTTTAAGTACTGGCACACTTGAGTTTTGCTTTGGGGGCCTGGAGGGTTGGGTTTTTTTGGAGGAGGGAGAGAGAATATATTTTGGTTTGGGAGTTGTTCAGTTGTTTTGTTTTGTTTTTCCTTAATCCTTGAGGATTTCCCCATTGTTCTAAGATTTATTAAAAGTCATTAATAATTCAGTAATTTTAATAAGATCACTGACCATCCTTCCCTGCAAGTTATGCAATGCAGTAACTTTAAGGTTTAAGTTCTTTTAATAACTCAAAAATGTCAAAAAAAATGGAGCTGTTTTGTTGAGAGGAAACTCTGACACAGGGTGCACTTCACAGAGACACCCACTGCAGTTTGTCATTCCTGCCTGCATGTAACAGTCTGGTGCTGAGTGTGGCACGTGAGAATGAAATCCTTGCAGTTGTACACTCAACTCTTTCGCTGTACCAGGTTGGAGTACATCCTGTTAGTTTATCATCTCTCTGTTGGTAAGGACACCGTACCTGTGCCAGGCAAGCTCTTCCACTGCTCTGCTTTCCTTGGAGTGATGTTATTTATAAATCAAATGTTTCCCTGTGCTGCAGGTATTTGGGAGCAGAGCCATGGCCTGGGAGCAGCTTCTGGAGCAGTCTGGTCCTAGGTGCTTGCTCTGTGACCCTCATGGCAAGAGGATGATTAATGTCATCCTGGATGCTGTGTGACTCTGGTGCTGGCAATGAAACAGAGGCTTGACTCTGAAAGCTAGTTGCCTTCAAAATTAAGTAGGTCAATGTTATCATTAAAATACAGTGGAATGAGAGTGAGATTGGAGGGAGCAGTGGTTATATTGGGCAGCTCTGCAGAGACATTAATTAGCGCAGTGTCCTCTTTTGTGCATGCTGTATCTGGTCCAAAACCCCATCTGAATTATGCTCAAAGGTCTTCTAAATCAGAGGCTTTTGTTTTCAAAAAGTGCAGTTGCATTTCAGAAGCAAGCCTCTGTCTTCCTTTGGAAGCAGGTAACAAAAGCCAGGTAGTTATTCGAACATAGCCCTTCACTGAACCATAGGATGACCATAACCAGAGACGTGGTCCCCGTGTCTGCCTGGGGAGACAGAGCCAAGTTAAAGGTTAGGAAAATCACAGCCAGCACTGTCAGCTTTTTTTCCAGTTCTTCCTCATGCTCATGGAGGCTCTTGGCCCTCTGTGCCACTGCAGCATGGGCTGGTCCCTCATCTGCCCTTAGCTTGCCTTTAACTCCATCCAACCTGATCTTGAATGGTTCCAAGGATGGGACACTCACCGCCTCTCTGGGCAGCCTGTGTGTGTGTCTGGCTACATTCATTGTGAAAAACTTCTTCCTTGCATCTTACCTAAATTGACTCTCCAGTTTAAATCATCACTCCTTGTTCTATTGCACCAAGCCCTACTAAATAGTCCATCCCCATCATTCTTGTTGCCCTCCTTTAGGCACTAGAGGGGCTCTGAGGTCTCCCTAGATCCTTCTCCTCTCCAGACTGAACACCCCCAGCTCTCCCAGTCTGTCTCCAGAGCAGGGGGGCTTCTCTGGTCTCACCCCAGCAGATCCATGTACTTCCTGTGCTGAGAACCTCAGAGCTGAGTATCTTCAATTAGATTTTGCTGCAGCTGCAATTGGTATTTCCAAAAAAATTTCACCCTGGACTTCTTCAATGGCCATGCATTAAATGGTTGGTTGTCTTGTTGAGGGCTAGGGGGAGCATTTGGAGGAGACGTTTTAAGGGGAGTGAGGCCACAGGGGGAATCCTGCAGGGATCCACATTAACACTGGACTGTTCAAAATGTTTACCTCATGATACAGGAAGTAAATGGAAGTAAATCCTCAGGTTTGAGGATTACAAGGAACAGTAAAAATTAAAAGGTAACCACAAGTGCTAAAGCATCTTGGAATACTGAGTGTTTGGGAGATGAAATGGCAGATAAAATTCAGTATTATAAAATGAAAGGGCCCCAATAACATCTATATGTTGCCCTTGCAGCCCCTCAAAGATGGTTTGCATTGGTGTTCAAAATGGGGATATCCTGGAAACCTACCGGATTACTTCATAACTTCTTACCTCAGGACTCTTTCCTCATCAAAGCATCTTGCCATGCTACATCAAATATCATCTCTCAAGATAGACTACAAGCATGCTGGCCCTGGCCCCTGCCTCAGAGCTGCTGCTGTGCAGAGTACAGGCAAAGCTTCCAGCCTCCATGCACTGGCTCCAGGTGCTGCATCAGCACCTGCCTGCTTCAGGACAGGTCACATCCCTGACACAAGTGGCTGGCTCAAAGGTCTGAGGCTGATCTGCATCGCTCCCTCCAGATGGGGTGGCTGGGTCCATGCCACCCAAAAAAAAACTGGTCTCTCATGTTCCTGACCACCTCTCATCACCAGCCACTTGGACGCAAGGACTACCACAAAACAGCCCCTGAGCAGGAGAGGGAGGTTCTGTGGCTCCACACCTCTGCCAGGCCTGGTGCACACGTGGCTCTCCATCACACAGGCTGCCCAGTCAGCACCTTGTCTCACTGTCCCATGTCCCTGACAGCTCCCTGTCCTATGCCATGGAGGTGCAGGCATCACACAGGTTTCCCCTCCTTCCCATGGCACCTTGGCTCTGCACCTGGCCTTGTGGAGCACTGCACAGCGGTGCAGGTGGGCCCAGCACTGCACTGAGCAGAGACACGTGGCAGAGCCAGGCTGGCTGGCAAGCACATACTCTCCCCTTTCTCCAAGAACTTCATCTCTGCTCTCAAATTACGAGAACAGTTGTGCAGTCAGCACAGGCAAACACAAGGAGCAGATCCCAGTGCCAGTGATGCAGCTGGCAAATTACTTTGGCCCCGTCAGAAGCAATGCCAGGGAGAGGATGTCAGGAGAATGGCAACAAGACAGCCCTTGAGGTGGAGGAGTGGCTGGAAACTAAATCAACATTCCGCAGTCTCACACTGAGAAGACCATCAGCCGTGGTCTCCATGTGGGCCAAGCCAATATGGACTGAAGTTCTACACCAGACGTGGACCAGGCCATTCCAGTCTCTGCAGCAGCCATGTATATGCTTGGCAGCTGTCAGGCATCTAGAGAGAAGCTGTCAGCACATCCCCCTCAGTTTCATAGTTTCTAGGCTAAACAACTCAGGCTAATTTAGGCTCTCACCATAAGCTGCTTTGCCCAAAACTCGCTTCTTAAGGGAATTGTATTTGGTTTGTATGGCAGGGTTTTGGTAAAGGGGGGCATTACAGGGATGGCTTCTGTGAGGAGCTTCTAGAAGCTTCCCCCACGTCCAGCAGAGCCAAAGCCAGCTGACCCCAGGACAGACCTGCCACTGGCCAAGGCAGAGCCCATCGGCAATGGTGGCAGTGCCTCTGGGATTTGAGAAGGGAAAGAACTGTGCACAGCATCAGCCAGAGAGAGGAGTGAGGGTTTATGACAGCAAGAGCCCTGCAGTCCCCCCAAGCCAATGCAGAAGGAATGAGAGGAGGTGCTCCAAGTACTGGAGCAAGGATTCTTTTGCAGCCTGTGGGGTCCAGGGGTAGCAGGGACCCACCTACAGCCCCAAAAAGATCCACGAAGGAGCAGAGACCCACCTGCAGCAGGAAGAGTATGAGGATCCTCCCCCTGAGAAAGAAGTAGTGGCAGAGAGATGCTGTGATGAATTGATCCCATTCCCTGTCACACTGCACTGCTGAGGGGGAGGAGGGAGAGAACTGAGGGATGAAGCTGAACTGGGGAAGAAAGGAGGAGTGGTGAGAAGATGGTTTTACAATTTGGTTTTATTTCTCATTACCCTACTTTAACTTGATTGGTAATTAAACTAATTTCCTAAAATTTAGTCTATTTTGCCCATGACAGTAACTGGTGAGTGAGCTCTCCCTGTCTTTATCCCGACCCATGAGTGTTTTATACTTTCTCTTCCCTGCCCAGTTGAGGGGAAGAGTGATGGGGCAGCTTTGATGGGCACTTGGTATCCAGCCAGGGTCATCCCAGTGAGTTGTCCAGACAGTCCCAGGTGAGTTTTCTCCCTCCCTATAGCCCAAGCCCCTAACTGGATACCAAACCCAGAAGAGATACTGGTACTAACAGGCAGAAGAACGGGCATCAGAGCCAGAGCAGGTTTCTGGCGGGCTGTATGCCCATTACAGAGGGCCATGACACCCCCTTTTTGTATGGCAGCTGGTCACTGCAGGGCAGCGTCTGTCCTGGGGTGCAATGTTTGCCCAGTGCTCCCATTCTCTTGATGAAGAGTGTTAAGCTTTCCTGCGTCATGTTCAGTGCTTTGTGCTTTTATCTGAGTAATAAACAAATAAACTTCTTTCCCAGGGGTGGGCTTTGATAGAGCTGCTCATCAACTTTCATCACTGACCATAACAGTGCTGAATACTTTTGCTGTTGATAGACCTGTCAGATTACATTTCAGCTTTGCCAGGCTCTTGGTTCTGGTGGCTTCGTGTAGTGTAAATGATCTGGAAAAGGGCTGAGTGGTAACACTATTATGAATATATTGACACACTGAAAACCCACATTTCAAACACCATATGCAATCTAGTTGTCCCATATTAAAAGGGTAATTTTCTTTTGAAATGATCAGCTGTGAAAGATGACCAGGGTCTCCTGTACTGCAGATGGTGCAGTGCGGATAGCAAAAATTGTTATTACTCGTTTCTTGCAAGAGAAGCTAGGAAATGCCAGAAGAAGTAATTGGACATCTGGTCTAAATGCAACAGAATAACTTGCTTTTCACAATGCACATAATTACACAGCAAAACTCTTGACTTCACAATGCCCTGTGATAATAGAAAGTATAAATGTCTGTTCTTGGACAGCACTGGATTCCCCAAATCCAATTATGCAGCAGATGGTAAAAAGATGACATCACAAAATAAACAAACACAAAAGGAGGATCAGGAGTTATTAATGATTAGTACATATTAATGATTAGCAGATTGACTTTCCACATTTAATACAGTTCATGAAGTGTTGATAAAGTGCTGATATCCATAGGCTGGTGACAGGTCTGAGGCTGTTCTTGGGCTGAGGACAATAGGGGACTTCCCTGTAGCAACTTTATAGCAAATGTCTGTGGTTTGCTGTGCCTTTGCCCTCCATTATTATTACCACAGGGAATCAGTGTGTTAATTCTCACTTCCATGGGAGAGAAATGGAGGACACAGCAGCCAGCACACAGACATGACAAAGTGGATGGGAATGAACCCTCACAAAAACTTTGGACGTTTCCTTTCAGTGAATGTGGAGATAGCTGATGTGAAGCTGGAGACAGGACATGGTGGGCAGGCATGGGGCTGGGGGTGCAGGGGCAGGTCTGGCATTCACACCCTGCCCAGCCCTCCTCTAGGCCAGCCAGCAATGTTTGAAGGGCAATGCTCACCAGGAAAAGGCCATCTGAGTCACAGCTGCAGTTGCCAGCTGCTCCCATAAGCACAGCTAGGTCACAGCTAGTCACGGGAGCGGGACAAGGGAGCAGCCAGAATATGGAATAAATAATTGCATGAGTGTAGTGTCCCAGGAGGGGAGCAGTCACAGAGGTCCAGGACCCCCCGGTCAGGACCCAGCTATTGCAGGTCATGTAGCACTTTCATAAATCTGTGAATGTTCAGCTCACACTAGTTAAGAGCTGACTAAAGCTTAGATTAGGGACACAAAATCCATGCATCCTTTGTGGGTTTCATTTAATCAATAACATTTATACACTACGAAGTATGGGGCAGATTCTGCACAGGCATATCATCAATCCAAACCTTTCCCAGCTGCAGAGGTAAATTCCTCATGTGCTGGGTGTCCTTGTTGGTGTATTTCTCTGATGGGCAGAGGAAGATGACAGCAAGGTGATGTGATGCAGGTACAGGAGGCTCCTGCATCATGAGCATGACATTCTCTCGCTGCCAGAACCTCATATTTGCTAGGGACAGGCTATTTGCAGGGACTTTGGAGCCTGAAGGCCAGGCTGTAGAAGTGAGGTTGGGATCTCAAGGCTGCTGCTGGATTTCCCCACTGAATTCTAAGTACAAGGCACTGCAAGGCATATAATACAATCTAGATGCATTAGTGCCTGATTTGTGATTGCAAATTGAATTTTGCCTGGCCAAAATCCCAAATATTCTAGTGATAATTAAATGTGCGTGAAGAGTTTGCACTCTCAGTATTTATTATTTATAGACTGAACCCACAAATGCAAATGCCATCACCCATTCCAAAAGCACACCATTCACCCTGTGCACAGTCACTGAATTCCCAGGATTGTCCTAAGTGGCACAGCATGTCCTTTCCCATGTCCAGCACTGATCTGTAAGGTGTGTGAAGCCTGGGAATGCCAGCCAGCCAACAGTGATGCCTAGGGTGATCAGACACAAAATTCCCCAATCACAGCCTAATTCTCACCCTGCACAAGCACCCTGGAGCACAGAGAAAGGACACAGAGCCTGAACTACTTTTAAGAAGTTTGGGGGAAGGATGCAGAATAAACTGTCCCACAGTGCTAATGGCCACCTGTTCCTGCTATCAAAAAAATTGCATTACTCACTGATACCTAACAGTGACAGCACTAAGCTTTTCAATTAACGTGTCTGAGCACTCCTGTGCAGAGCCGTGCTGGGCAAGCCAGGGATCCTTGCCTGGTGGCAAAGACAGGCTGTGGAGCAGACAACATTGACACCAATAGCTAGCTCTGCAATAACCAAGTGGTTCTCACAGCAACCAAGTGAGAATGGACTTTGCAGAGGAGACATAACTGTTCCTGTAAAACTGCTTGCAAGCCACAGTTTTACAGCTGCGAGGTCTTGGCTTTCCCGAAGTTCCCTCCCCATAATGCAGATAGAAGGAGAAGGAGTTTTGAAACAGGAGTCTTCTGGGAAAGCAATATCAGCCTCACTCTCCTCCTCACCACTGTGGACTGCAGCAGTAGCAATTAAGCTCAGCACAGAAAAGAGTCAGTCTTGATCTGCCAAGAGCATCTCAAAAACAGCATTGAACTATCCAGATGGGGCCATTTTGATCACCTCACCTGCCATGCAGCTGCAGAGTTAACATAAATTCTGACAAGCTTCAGTTTGCACTTAGCTGGAACTTGCCTTTTGCATACAGGCACTGCAGATTAAATCCTTCACATGGCAACATGACTACCCTGGTCTTCCACAGGTCCTCCCAAAGCACAGACCAATTCTGTAACTAGGAAAGGCCCTTCAAAGACTTTTAGGGGTCCTGGGGCACTGAGCTATGGATATCTGTGCCCACGTCTGCACACACTCATGTACACCATGTACACCAATGTACTTTTGCTGTGGGCTGACCTCATCCAGAGCATGGTCTAAGCTGCCATTTGGGTCTAGCTATGCTACACAGCAAGACCACATAGGCTGCAGCCAAGGGCATTAGCTGGACAGAAAGGAGCCTCAAGAATTCTCAAGTCTGCCCAAAACCACAGCTTGGCTGAGCTATCTGTCATGGGGTGACTTTGTGATGCTTGTATCCCCAACTGACTTGTTTATGTTACATATTAAGTTCTGCACCTTTAAGCCTGGCCCTGAGAGCAAAGTGGGGGGAAAAGAAGCATGTAGTTTGTGTTCAGAAAGAGCCCTCACTCCTCTGCATCCTGCTCCTGGACTGTGCTGTCTGCAGCATGGACAGACAGCGGGACAGAGCTCTCCTTTGCTGTTAGTTTTTAGCTAGTTAAGTCAGAGAAGTTCCCTAGACTGTTTTTTTTCCTTTTCTCCTGGATCTGTTCTGTCCTGCTCTGGACTGAACACCCAGCCAAACCCCGGGAGCTCACACCTGTGGCCCACCGGGGCCTGGGCCTCGGCACTTTCCAGCGCCGGAGGGACTGATAAGAGACTGAGCGAGCTGAGCTACACCACACGACAAGGACTTTTCTGGATGTGCCGTCTCTTTGAACAGCAAGAGGTTTCATTGTTTAATATTATTCAATTTCTGTTAAATAAACAGGTTTTTTCCACTTTTCTCTAAGGAAACCTTTTCCCAAACCAGTTGGGGAAGGGGCCGCTTGAATTTGCTTTCAGAGGGACCCCATTCGGAGGTTTTCTCCCAAATTTGCCCTAAACCAGGACGCAGTGTAGCAGCCCCTTGGAACCACAGATTCCATCTTGGTTTGACTCCTCCTCCTCTCAGTCTGTATTGCTCACAGAAAGTAGTCCGTTATTGGCGTAAAGTAATGGAGGATGATTTGGGTTCATTTCCTTATTTCTCTACTGCTTCATTAGGCATACCCAGTGCTGCCTTTCCTAGGGGCTGACCCCATGCCTGTGTCTTCAGGCACAGGTGGAGGAGCACCCTGGAGGGTCAAAGCATCCCCAGGTGCAAAGGAGCTGTGGGACTGTGCTGGGGACACCATCTGTGGGTGGCCAGCAGTGGCGACAGCAGCGCTGCCACACGCGTGACCGCGGGGCCAGTGCAGGACTCGCGTCTGCGAGCGGAGCCTCCCGTGCTGGGGAGAGGGGGCGCTGGGGGCTTTGGGGGTACGGCATGGAAATAGCTACAGCTCTGGGGGCTTTGGGGATACGGCATGGAAATAGCTACAGCTCTGGGGGCTTTGGGGGTACGGCATGGAAATAGCTGGCACTGGGGCTTGCTGGGGGTGCAGCCTGGGGCGGGGCGTTGGGGGCTATCGGAGAACGATATCGGGAGCGGCGCTGGTGGTTCCGAGGGTCCGGTAACAGGGTGGGGGCGGCACTGGCGATTTCGGGGTACAGCTCGGGGCCCCGGGGGCGGCGCCGGCAGCTCTGGGGCACGGCTGAGAGGCGGTGCCGGAGCCGCCGCGGTGCCGGAGCCGCTGCGGCGGCGCTCGGGGGCGGGCCGGGCCCGGCGGCCGTTCCGCCCCCCCCGCGCTGCGGCCGGGGCTCGGCCCCGCTCCGTCCCGCGGTGCAGGGAGCCGGGCCGGTGCCAGGGCCGCCGCCCGGCCGGGCCGCAGCCCCCACCGCCATGGCCCGAGTCTCGGCGATGATCAGCCCGGTCCTGGTGCTCTTCGGCTGCGATCTGTGTTTCGTGCGAGCCAGTAAGTGCGGCCGGGCCGGGAGGGCACCGGGGCTGCGCTTCGCCGCGGGGCTGGCGCCCGCCGGGCGGGGACGTTCTGCCGGGCGCCAGCCCCTGCTGTGGGATGCTGTCCTCGCCAGATACCCCCGCCGGCCTCACTGCATCCCCGGCGTGGCCTGCCTTTGCCGCGATTCCCGAGGACTCCTCGGGCACTCTCGGGGCTCCGTGGCCTCCGAGTCCTCTGTGCCTTGGACCGTGTCCCCTCCCCGGGGGACGGCTGCTGCCGCGCTGCCCTTCCCGGGGCTCCCAAGGGCTCCCGCCGCGGGCAGGGCGCGAGTGGCAGTGGGCGCTCTGCGGGGTCCCGGACTGCCCCAGAGAGCTCCTGCCCCGAGCAGGGACACTCGGGGCTGTCACCGGGATCCTGTCCCTTCCTGCCGGTGTTCGCTGGAACATCGAGCTCGGTGCACCGGAGGCACCGTTGTCCTTGTGTCCTTTGACTCGCCGGGATGGCCCGCTGTCAGCAGCCGCTTCCTGCTGTCTGTTTGCCCCCCGACAGGTCACTTGAGATATCAAATCGAATTGCGAGTACCAGACGTGTTCTCTACACTCTGCCGTGTTGCAAAACACGTACTGACGGATTCAGGAAGAGATGCAGTCAGGAGTGTTAAAAAGGGGCCACTTATTTTTAGATGTGCAGTCTGGTGCTTACTCTCTGCTGCAGCAGTAAGTTGGGCAAACATCTGGGTGCCCTTGAGCAGCAAGCCCCAAGGGCATGGGCCGGGGGACAGGGGTGGTCCACTCTCCAGATCACAGCAGGATGGGGAGGGCACCGGTGGAGCCGTGCCGTGCCCTGTCCCTCATCCCTCTGCAGCACCACATGTGCCAGCATCCCTCGTGACTGGCCCCTTTGCCTACCCATGGAGCCAGGATGCATGGGATATCTGGTCTCATGTCCAGCTGCCCACCAGCCATCCCTCCCATTGGCCACTGCCCATCCTTCCTACTGCTCACTGGTCATCCCTCCCACTGCGCTCTGGCCATCCCTTTAAGTGCCCACTGGCTGTCCCTCCCAGTGTCCAGCCACAGGCTGCAGTGCTGCTAGCTTTGAACACAGCCCACCCCTTAATCAGGCCCAAAAGGATCACACTGCTGTACAGACAGAAAACCTGTGCTGGGCCTTAAGTGACTGTGCTTTCTGTGGGGGTGCCCCTTTTGTAATACAGCTTTAATAAAAAGTGAAGTTGGATCATTTATAAGTGATGTAGAATCATTAGCAGCTAATTCATTGAGCTGAACAGTGGCACACTTTTCCCAGAGAACTCAGTAGCATCTTGACTTTATAGCCAGAATGTGTTTGTTTCAGAGAGCATGCACTTTGGAGCCCTTGCATTCACAGACCTTTGTAGCAACAGTTCTGGCACAAAGCTGCTTTGATCTCAGCTGCAGAGCAGTCTGGACAGTATTAGGTGCAATGTGGGGATTATACACAAAGCTTTGTCCTTTGGAGGTCTTGTAACAACTTTGAGGTCTTATCTTGAATTTCATAGAATCCTGGAATGGTGTGGTTTGGAAGGGACCTTAAAGCCCATCTCATTCCTCCCCCCTGGTATGGGCAATGACACCTTCCACAAGACCATGTTGCTCCAAGCCCTGTCCAGCCTGGCCTTGAGCACTTCCAGGGATCCAGGGGCAGCCACAGCTTCTCTGGGCAACCTGTGCCAGGGCCTCACCACCCTCACAGGGAAGAATTTCTTTCCAGTATCCCATCTAATCCTGGCCTCTGTCTGTGAAAAGCTATCCTCTCCTTGTCCTGTAATTTTGTCCAAAGTCCCTCTCCAGCTCTCTTGGAGCCCCTTTAAGCACTGGAAAGGGCTCCAATAGCTTAGCAGAGCATTCTCTCCAGGGTGAAAAACCTCAGCTCTCCCAGCCTATCTCCAGAGCAGACAGAGGTGGCTGGGATTAAACATTGCTCTGTGTATCTATGGTGAACTTCTCAAGTTTTGACTTCTGAGGCTTCTTGTCTTCTCTCTTCCTGATGGGTGTGCAAATCCCGTATACTCAGAAATGTATTTTCTGCAGTTGATTCAGCATCAAACTGATCAAGGAACACTGGTTCTTCTAATGCAGAACAGTAGCCTGGACACCAAGTCTCCTGTCACACAGGCTCAGGGCTGCTGGCCTGGGGTGTGAACCAAGTGTGCTTAGGATACATGAGGTGTGGTGCACTGACAAGCCATGTGCATTGTGGCTCTGCTACATCCCCATGTCCTCTCACCCTTTTACTGCTGGTGAGTGACAGGGTCTGTGCAAGCTTTGGCTCAATACAGCTGGAACACTTGTCAGACCTGTGTGGACTCAGCAGCATGGCTTGTGAATTGGTGCAGTGCCTTTGTTCTCCAGTCACCAAGTGTCTCAGTCCCAGGGCAGTGTCTCAGCATCCCCAGCCTGAAACCTCAGCTGGGATAGGTTGGGCACCTCACAGAAGCCCAGAAGATTCTTGAGCAGAGCTGGACAGCTGCTACAAACTCCATCCACAAACTTCTGTGGTGCAGGGATGTCAGACCATGTCTTTAATTTCTTCACATACATTTAAAGGTTGGTAGTCAAACTGCCCCCATCACGCATATTCAGGACTTTTAAAATTCTGTTAGATGTGAAAAAAGCACCTAATTCATTACTGTGGATGTATCCTGTGAAGCACCATATCCCGTTGTTGTCCCAAGGCCAGCTGGCAGGGTCTGGTCATATCCATGGTATCATGAGATCCAAAGAGGGAGGCACTTAAGTGCTACCTGTGAAGAATGGTTTTCTGCCTTGTCCTAGCTTCCAAGTCATGCCCAAGAGTCGTTTGGGCATATATTGGCTGGTGCAGACCACATCGGATCTTGGACCAATCTCCACCTCTGGATTCTTGGGTTGTTCTGACCCCATTATGTTTGCTAGCACAAACCTTGCTAGCTACCTAACTAGTGCTAACCTAGGACAACTATTCTTATGCTTGAAGACAAGCAGAAACGTGCAGCCTACCATGCACACACACTTTGAAATGCCTGTGTCTAGGACAGCGCAAGGGAGCAGATGTTTTCTGTCTGACAGGTGCTGCCTGAGCTCAGCTGTTAACTGAGCAGCTGACCTGATGCCAGCCATGGCTGGGGCAGAAAACCAGACAAGGATGGAAAATGGCCCAGTGGAAAAGAACCTGAGGGCGCTGGTTGACAGCAATTAAACATGAACTGGCCAAGAAAGCTAAGAGCATCCTGGCTTGTGTCAGCAATATTGTGGTAGCAGGAGCAGGGCAGTGATTCCCTGTGCTGGACACTGCTGAGGCACCTCAAATCCTGGCTGCTCACAAACAAGAAAGACATTGACAGGCTGGAGCGTGTCCAGGGAAGGGAGCAGAGCTGGGAAGGGACTGAAGCACAAGTCTGGTGGGTGGCTGAGGGAGTTGGGGGAACTCAGGCTGGATGAAAGGAAGCTCAGGAGGCACCTTCGCACTCTCTACAACTCCTTGACAGGATGGTGGAGCCAGGTGGGGGTCGGGCTCTGCTTCCAGGGAACAAATGACAGGACAAGGGGAAATGGCCTCAAGTTGTGCCAGTGGAGGTTCAGGTTGGGTATTAGGAACAATTTCTTCACTGAAAGAATGGTTAAGCTTTGGACAAACTGCCCAGGGCAGTGGTGGGTTCACCACCCCTGGAAGTGTTCAAGAAATGACTGGATGTGACACTTTGCAATGTGGTTTAGTGGGCATGGGGTTACTTGGTCAAAGGTTGGAGTTGATGATCCTGGAGATCTTTTCCAACCACAATGATTCTATAATTTAATCTACAGGAAGTTCGGCTCTTGTGCCGACAGAGTACACTCTGGGCAATGGACAAGCCTGGGTCGGCAGCTTTGTTCAGCCTGTTTTGCTGTTGGCTTGTAGTTAAAGACTCCCTCCCTCTTATAGGTTAGTGATGAACCAGATCCCCATGTGCAAAATTCTACAGAGATACACTCTTTGTAGGATAAAGAATGTTTGAGTGTATCTTTGAATCCTTTCCAGTTTTCCAGACTCCTTTTCTGAAGGAGAAAAACAGCAGGCATGCTGTGGTGTCCTTGTCTCTGACAACCCTCTCTCCTAGTGGTGTGTCAAACTTCTGGACACACACTCAGTCCCAGGGTCTCTCTTAGAACATGTTTTCTGGGCTCTTCTCTTTGTTTTAATTGCCCTTGGCAGACCACAACCCTGAATTTCTCAGAGTGGGAACCACAGCCTTCCTCTGGTTTGATCTGAATATGGGTATATTCAGATGTGAATTAATGGACTTAAACAGCTGGCTTGCAAAAATCACCTTTTTTTGTGTTTTAACTGACGTTGTTGTTGGTGTCACGGTTGTCCTTTCTCTTGTTCTCAGGTGCCCCCTGGAACTCTTTTTCTATATAAATCACAGCACTGACCCTGTAGCCCTAGCTGCTACACAGGCAGCTTGTAGAAGGGCACTGACTTAGATGTGGGGAGTAAGAACATACAAACAGCAGCTTCAATGTCTTCCATGTGCTCCTGTGTCTAATTTCCAGACAAAATTTGGCTTTGTGTGCAGGACTGTGTGGGATCCTGTTGTGCTCTTAGTGCTGTGAAATCTGAAATTGGCAGTGGTGCAGACCATAGGTCAGTCAGGTCAGCTTTCTATAGAGCAGCAATGGCCAAGCATCACTGCCAGCTTTGCAGTCAATGGCATTGCACTGCTGGTGATACCTAAGATTTTTAGCTTTTTATATTTTTCATATATTTGTGGCTATGTAGATTGTTAACACATGGTTGTAGCTTCTCGTATTTTTCCTGTCTTTCTTTCCTACATTTAGGAATAATAAGCTAACCTTATAAACACATTTCTAAAAATATTATTTAGTCTTATTCCAAGAACAGAACCAGCTACAAGGATATTCTGTTTTCCACCCAGAATGTGGACCAAGCATAACAAAAGTGGGGCAAGAGAAACTTCTGGACTGCTTCCAGTGGGGCAGGACCCCAGGAATTATTACCTAACCAACTAACCTTTTAATTGGACAGAATATGATAAGTATACTAATCGACTAACCTTATATAAATTGTAGCATTACTATACTACATATGATTTTCACCATATTGTGCACCTAAAAGCTTTCAAGTAAAGGTTTGCTTATATATTCACTCTTAATGTTGTTGGGAAGATCTATTTTCCAGGCATTACTGGAACAGCCAGCTCTGCCTTCAGCATTGGCCTTTCCCCATGCCCTGGAGCAGGGAGTAATTCCAGGCAGAGGAGATAGCCAGGCTAAGTCGTAGAGTGTGTTTATTTCAAGGTGCCCCATTTCTCTGTCACAATCAATATATCATTGCTGTGTCTGGGCTGCTTCCTACTCAGTTCTGGGTGGTGTGCCAAGCGTTTGTGGCATGCCCATCCACGGGGGAACCCCAGAGCTCTGCACCTGCACACTCCTCATGCACAGAGTGGGTAGCTGCCTGCCAGCCCAGGAGGCACCGTGCTATGCATGTGTTGCTGCTGGCAGGGCTCAGGCTTCTCCATCTGCTGTGCCACTCATCTCCTGGGGACAGGTTCACCAGGGAAGGTGCTCCCTGTAGCCCTAGCCAACGTGCTGCCATTGGCAGGTGTTGGAGAGGCCTCATGGTGATGTGCAGGGCTGAGTGCCTGTTCTGAGACATCTTCTTTTGCCTCTTTCCTGTGCCTCGCCATGGTCCATGCCTGGCTCACCCAGACAGGCCACCGTCCCCTGTCAACGTGACTGTGACACAGCTGAAGGCAAACTCTGCCACAGTCTCCTGGGACGTACCAGAAGGAGACGTGGTCATCGGCTACGCCATTCTACAGCAGGTATCCAGGATCTGTCCCCAGGGGACTGGGGACACTGATTACCAGCATGCTCCTATGTCGGTCCTTTTGCCGCAATCTGGGGCTCCTCTGGCATCTGCCCGAGGACATCTCTGCTGCTGAGCAGCCCTTGCCAGGGTGCCCCATCTGAGCCATCCATCCTGGTGGGAAGCAGAGGACTGTGGGCTGCATTGGGGGTAGTCCCTCCAATGGCTTCCCTGGGATTTCTCTAGGTAAGGATGGTGCTTCAGCCATGATATAACCCTTCTTTGCTTGCTTTGCTCCACCTATGCAGCCCTGGGTGGTGGTGGCTTCTCCAGGGAAGTGCCTGGCTCTCAGGCCATGCAGGCATGCTGAATAGGCACTGCTGGGCAGGCTGGCCCACCCTGGGGTGGATGGTTGCCTGGGAAGGGAGGAGTGAGGGCATAGCCCTGAAGCTGGTGGCCTGTGTCTGGTGCCGCTGGAAGCAGCCTTCTGGGGGTGACAGTTCTTCCCTCTGGCAGAGGCAGGATGGGCAGATGCAGCGCTTCATCCGGGAGGTGAACACCACCAACCGTGCCTGTGTGCTGTGGGACCTGGCGGAGGACGCTGACTACATCATCCAGGTGCAGAGCATTGGCCTGTATGGGGAGAGCCAGGCTAGCAAGCGTGTCCACTTCCGCACCCTGAAGGAGACCGACCGCCTGCCTTCCAACAGCTCCAACCAAGGTGAGGCAGCTCCTTCCAGCTCGCCCAGGTGCCTCTGGTGGCCACCTGGAGGCCTGTACAGCAGATGGGCAGGGATTCAGCAACCAGTGAGGAAGGTGCTGCACTGAGCAGCAGGCTGCTGGGGACACAGGCTGCTGTTGTGTCCATTATATGTCCATGATAATGTCCCCAAGCCATGGTTTGCAGCCCTCCTATTCCAGGTCTTGGCTCCTATTCAGCTGGGGAGGCTGGCCAGGACAGCTGCTGGGGCCTGCCCAGCTGCTGCCCGTAGGAAGCCAGTACTGGACAGACTCTCAGATCTCCCAGACTGCAGAGGCTACCAAAGGACAAATGACAGAGCACCATGGTCTCTTTTACTACTCATATCTGTGTTGCCTTGGGGTTGCCTACATGCTGAACCATGAGAGAATCCAGGAATCCAAGAGAGATGATGCCCATAGAGAGCACGGGAGTTTGTCTCCAGCACTAAACATGAGAGGGGTCTTGAGTATGACAGGGCAAGCAGATGGCTGACTTTCTGCAGAACTTCTGTGTTAAACTGACCTGACCTGACCTGGTTGCTGTGTAGAGACAGATCTTAGTGATTACTGGCATGCATTATGCAGTCCCTACATGAGCCCAAACAAGCTGTTGGAATCCCTGGCTACTTCAGTAGCAAGGATGGTTTATATGACACAGGAAAGCCACGGGATGCATGTCCCCTCCCCAGACAGGATGTCACCCGACGGCCTTCCTTGTTTGGGGGAGGTGGGCTTCTCTCCTTTGGAGTTTCTCACCTTCTCCAGTGTTGCTGTAGTGGGAGGGTATCTGCTGCCAGCCCTGCTTGGGGTCTCTTCTCTGCAGGTGACATCACCATGGAAGGGCTGGACAAAGACCGGCAGCTGCAGACAGGCGAGATTATTATCATTGTGGCTGTGCTGCTCATGTGGGCAGGTGAGTGCCACAAGCAGTGATCTGGCAGACTGAGGCAAGGGTACAATCCTTGGTTCACAAAGAAGATGTGGATCAAGAGAGTGCAGAGGCACACTGGTGAGGGTCTGGCACCCTTTCTAGTAAGTGCATTGAGTCTCTGTAGGTGCTGGAACCAGTGGGGTAAAAGGAGCAAGGACAGCCACTGCTCAGCAGTAATGGCCTGGAGTATGTTGAAGAGCAGGAGACAGAATGGGACCTGGGAGCACAGGGTGGGAGCATCCCAACTGACAGTGACGATTGTGTTGCTTGGGCCTTAGATGTTGTGACTGATAACAATACTGCACTAGCTGGTAGAGGCTGTGCCTCAGTCTGCTAAAGCTGTAAAGAGGGTGATTTGCTCCAGTACAGCACACTTAGAGCCAGTGCAGGCAGCAGACTGCCGTGGCAGCATGGGAGCCTAGGAGGTAACTCAGCTCCTGACTGGCCACATGCAGCTGCTGTCAATGGGAAGTTACTGATACCCTTCTCCCTTCCCGGAAAATTTGGATTTTGTAGTGGCATCTTGCAGGAATTTCTCCTTGCCCTAGCCTTGACACTTTTCTAGGGCACTGGAAAAAAAAATACAAGATGACTGCTGGTAGTTTACACCTGGCATAGGTTGATGTATCAGGATGCCAGCTGGGAGGAGTCAGGCCCAGTCTGTGTGTGTGTGTGCCTGTGTGTGCCTGTGTGTGTGTGTGTGTGTGTGTGTATGTATTTTAGTGTGTGCTGGTGCTCTTGGTCTATGTGTTGCCGGTCTGCGCACTGTTTGTGTGTGTGTGTGT